TCACATGATGATCATTTGCAGATCACTTTACTGCGTCACACTTCTAGTTTTCTAAAGATCATTTGGGTTACAATATTGATCCAATGTTTTGCTACAAAAATAGGATCGATCATAAATTGGCTTAGTTTGGGCTCGTACATTAGTCTGATTGGTTTTTGAAGTCTGAGATGTAGTTGGAGTGCTTGTCCTGACATCTGGCGATTAAGACTTATTCGATTCAGCCGGTAGATCACGTGTGCGTGAACAATTGTTCACGCCGATCAAAATTTGAGATTTGGTTAGTTCATCAGTATAAAGATTTATTATATTCTGGATTTGTGCATCAGTTAGCCTAGAGATCGCATCAGCGCTAGATGTAACTACTCCAATTTTATCTATTCCTATTCTTTTGAACAAGGTATAGATGTTTTTAGCCTTTTGTGTCATCTTACGCAAATACTCTCTCTTTTTACCGGGGAGATACAGCCTCATTTCATCATAAATCTGCGTTCTTGCCATTTGATCGCTAATATTATTTTCAGATCTAAGGCTACAACCTTTTTTTCATATTCCTCGCTATAGTAATACCATCGTAATTTTTCTTTCCGACCAGTTTTTTCAGCCTTGTCGAATAAATAAACTAAATGAGGTACAGAACCTGGAGTTAGATAGGCATTGACCGGAACATCTGGAATATGTTTGCTAGATATAGAATTTGGTAAGGATGTAGAATCATGACATCTAACAAATTCAAGTAATTCACATATTAAATCTTGTTCTACTTTCTGATTATAGGGGATTTTTTTAGGCGGAGTGTTGTTTCCTGGGCCAGAAGGTTTCAACTCACAGGGTATCGCTGACTCTGCAGATGATTCCTTTGGAATTGATTCTTCAACCACCTGTTCTGGGAGAGTTACAAGTTCAGTGCTAGTCATAGAGAGGTCTGCTTCACAGCTGGTATTAATTGCTGGGGGCGATTCCTGGACAACCAATTCACCCTGAAGCTTTTTTTCTCGCTTCCTTTGCCTAATCTCATCGCTAACTTTTTTCTTATGCATCTCATCCAAGAAAGCATCCGTTTCCTTATCTTCTAAGGACTTCTGATCACATTGGTCCATAACAGGTATATTAACAGTTGATACCGATTGCTTTGCAATCACCTCTAGTATCGGTTCTTCAGGTAATGAAGTATCCGTTTCCTTATCCACTAACGGTTTTTCATGATGTGAGTTAGCTTTGCTAACCTGATCTGCAACCGAATTGAAGTTAGATGAACTGATGTTAGAAGAATTATCATTTAGCACCTGCCTCTGTTCCACTTTCGTGATTCTATCTCTAAACTCAGCATTCTCAGACTCGAGTTTAGTGGTAACTGTCTTATTTTTCTCTAGTTCCTCGATTCTGGCCTTGAGTTCGGCATTCTCAACATCACGTCTTTTACTCTCTTCCACAGCCTGTCTTAGAAGCTCGGCAATCCTGGCCTTAAGCTCAACTTTCTCAGACTCAATCTCCGCAAACTTCCTTTTAAGTTCAGGGATCTCAGCATTCTCCTTTTTAAGTTCTGAAATTTTAGCATTCTCCTTCCTAAGCTCGGCAATCTCAGCTAAGAGCTTGGCATTTAATTCTCTCAATGAATCAATGGATTGCATGTTCGATAATAATTTTTTATATAGGATGGAATAATTCAAAAGTTTGTTAGCATAGATAAAAAATGAGGTAATATCCTTATCGGAATTACTGATTTATTGATGTAAAAATGAATTACAAGATTCGGTAATACATAAACTTGTTTTACAAAGTGAAGTAGAGTTTCTATGCTAATGCCTGCCGGTGTTTCGTTCATCTAAGCTATCTATATACTAACACAATATCCCAGCATTAACTTTATTTGTTCCAATTACGATGATCTGGATAGAAATAAAATAAAAATCGTCAATTATATAAGACAACAATACCAGAAATAAAGTAGAATCATAACCTTAGTAAGGAACTCGCTGAGAATTTTTGTTAGCACTTCCGTGATGTTAGCTAGGTCTTCGGAAATCTGTACAAAAAAATGGTCATTAGTTTGATCTCAGAAGTCACCATTGCCGAAAAAATATATTTTAATTGTGTAATGTCTCGTTCGAAAGTTTCAATAATTTCTTCGTGATACAATGATACATGCTTATGTAAAACTTATCTGTCGCACAGATCTGTGGTACGACGGCAATGTAATTTTATTCAGATCATTGATTCGGGATTTGAATCAAAATTGAATCAAATTTATTTATATCTAATGATTACTTTTCATAAAAGAACGATAGTTTTTCTTCTTGCTATTCTAAAAGTCTTCTATTTTGCGTTTGGCTAACACTAAAGATGACTGAAACAGCAGGTCAATTATTAAGTCACGCTGTTCCGGTTTGCCAATGGCTCCCACAAAATACATCTAATCCAACTTCAACGTTGTCTGCTTACCCACGCTTTCCAGAGACCGTGAGGGAATGGACTGGGTTCTCCCGGGCTATAAGGCTTACCGGTGCACTTCCAGGGGGACAATTCCCCTTACATGCAACTATTGCACGACCTCTCAGAGTCGAAGACGACGCAAAAACTCGTTTATATCAAAATGTTTTGGCGCCTGTCGATGCATTATTACCAGCACAAGGACCACAAGAAGCAACATTTTGTGCGACGCCCCGAGGATTTTTAGGCCTTTCCGATCATGTTTTATGTACTAATAATTCCACAGTGGCCAAAATGCCTGTTGAAATAAAAACGCGTCACAATCTGGATTTAGGAAATTATAATCTCTGGGAAGTTTATCGAAGTGTTGACCGGAATCGAATAAGGGATGGGGATCCAAATATGAAATTTAAGAAAAGAATCTTGTCGCAGGCGTTTGGCGCAATGGCCTGTAATGGCCTTCATTACTGCACATTATCAAATTATAGCGACACATACTTTCTTAAGCGAGAAGAAGCTAGACCAACCACTTTGTATGCTACCAGTGTTTTTCGACCTAACGATACCAATCCAACTTTATGCGAATGTGTTTACTACATCAGCCAACTTGCTCTTGCTGATAATGTCGGTAATAGATTAGAACCTGTTGAGTCTGACAATTATACAACTGATAATGATGATGATGACAACGACAATGACGACAATTACCCTGATAATGGTAATGATAGTTCTTCTGATAATCATGATGATTATTATTATCCTTCAAGGAAGAGGAAGAGTTCTTCGAAACAGACCGGTAGTAAAAAGAGGGCAGTTCCATCATCTTCTAAGGGAATTACGACTATAGACGAATATATAGGCGGTGGGAGTTTTGGAAAAGTTTTCTCCGGCAAATATCATGATCAAGCTGTGGCCTGGAAGACCTGTGACGCGTATAAGGAAAAAGAAAAGAAAGAAATGTTAAGAGTTGAAGCAAATGTATACTCAATTTTAAAGGAATGTCAAGGTATGAATCTTTTTTTTCATTCATAATATTTATAGATATTAACTTGTTTATATTGCAATATTGATATTAGGACATGCTATTCCATGTTTGTTTTATGAAGGTTATGTTTATGACGGTTATCTCTATGCATTGGCGTTACAGCTAATTGAAGATGCTCGTCATATAGATACAGCAGTACTTACTACAGAAGAAAAGGAATCAATAATAGAACAACTGAAGTCAATACATAGTTTTGGCGTCTTACATAATGATATTGCTCAGAGAAATATTCTCTTTGAGCCAAAAAGTCGCCATTTCTTTTTTGTTGATTTTGGCTTAAGTTCATTCGTGGGTATTAATTCACCAAAGTTGTACAAGGAGAAAAAGAGATTAAAAAAATTGTTACAACTTTAGTCCTTGCCAGGCAACTTCTAACTCCACCATTTGCTCCAATTTACTCTTTTTGCTTATCCACCAAATCTTTCAATACTTCTGCTTGCGGTTTAGTTAAAGCACAGCTTAATCTTCATCTATTCATATGAAAAGTCCGATCATTAATTTCAATTTGTAAATAAATTATAATGCAAGGTCAAAGCACAAAAATGCAATAAATTATAAAATAAAATGTGTTAAAAATATAAAGCCCAATGCGGGCGAAAATTTTATTCATAATTTTCAAATAGTAAAATGAATATAGCGAAAGAAATATATGATGCTATCAAAGAGGGGAGTACGCGGATCCTAGGCCATTTAATGCGAGTCCCAGCATCAAGTTATTTCTTTGCACTCTCACGTTTTCGAAAAATAACTATAGCTAATTTGTTTCTATACCTATTGCTAATTACGATACTAGATTTTCGAAATAAATTATCCTGCCCATATTTACAGAATTTTTGTCTATCTACTCACAGTATAAAATATTAAGTTCCGCATGAGAACTTTTGCAATATTAAGTAACTTCGAATCTACAGCAGAATTATGAGGTATTAGCAACTGAGCTAAAAAATAAGCAACGAAAACATATTTCCGATCTATACTTACCATTACGATTTATTTTCGTTTTGCCTTATATACGAGGAATTGATTTCTTAATTTTTTCTGCGTTATCGCCCGAACGATACTGCGTAAAGTTCAATGCTTATGCCATGTGCCATTGCATGTGACGAGATTCATGTGAGTAATTTCACTGCGTCTATTGTATGCGTGATGATTTTCTCGGCAAAGATCAAAATGCCGATATATAGGCTATATAGCAAGAAGAGTGTTTTATTTTGGAACATCAATAGAGGCGGGAAAATTGATTAACATCGTGATTGCATGTTTCAAGAAGCTAGCCGAATAATAATCTAACCCTACCTTATTATTACTTTGCGTAATATACGAGTTTGTTTGATTGTAAATATCGATGATGCAAATAATGGTAAGTTAGATTGGTTTGATTAGTTTCGTTCGATTTTTGCTTTTCTTGTGCAAGGCAGATAAAAGGATTCACTAACCGGAACAACACCTTTTTATATAATTCCTAGGCCGAATTCTTTATTGATGTAGTAAGTAAATTACATGATTCAGCCCATCAGCATGGATGACATGTTTGCAAATAAAAAAATCACGTGCACGTGAACAATTGTTCACGCCGATCACTTTTGCCAAGAAAAATTTTTATTAATACATGCGAAAAATAAATACAAATGTTTGGGACTTTGCCCGCGATACATGACGTCTATGCTAATGTCTAATCCTACAGTCTAACTAACCACCTTACATTTATGTGACTTGGAAATTCTGTCGCTCCCCTTCTTTACGAAATGTCTGTAAAATACATGATTATTAATTACAAGAAATTAGCCGTTAAGGCGCTTCACAAGATTACAGAATCGCAGTACAGGAATTTGTGAAATAATAGATTCTTACGCTTTATATCTATCTAGTAAGTTAGAATATTTGAGATGTTCCTCCTCAAAAAGCTTTCTCTTCTTTTTTGCGTCTTCCCGACTTGCCATCCCGAAGTCAATCAGATATACGTCACCGTTATTGTTAATTAAGATGTTTTCCTCCCGAATGTCATTGTGGAGGATGCCATGCTTGTGAATCGCTTCTAATCCCTTAATAGC